TATTATTAGAACAAGTTTTCCTTGTCGTTGTTAAGCGTATAAACGAGATTCGGATAATGTTTGGTAAAGGCTTTTCGGATCGTATTAGAGAATGAACAAGCTTTTGAATGAATGCTTTATTCAGTGATGGACGTTTGCAAAGTTTGGTTGAGATCGTACATCAGATTGCTGTCGAACCGATATCCACAGATGTGGCGCTTCTTTCACATCTACTCGCGTTCATTGCCCATCTCCTTCAAAAAGGTGCACTTCAACCAACCGTCGATATGATTTCTGAGGTTCCTTCGAAAATTATTTATTCGTTTACAGCATAGAGTATATGGCGTGTATGTGGTAATGTCATTTCAGTGGTTCATCCATTGTTGAGTTTTATTTTCACATCCATTTGATCTGATGGTGCGAAATTGAATTCACAGTGTAGCTGTGTTGAAGAATAACTAATACATGTTTTGATTTGATTATTTGTGAACAATTGATCAGCTTGAGAGAATAGTTAGTTTTTAGCTGATCGAAAAGGTTTTATCGGCAGACGTAACTGCAGAGATGCGAATCGCTGAAACAGATCGCTGTATTGTTGAACTGATGCGAAATGTTAGCGATTTGAATGAGCTGGCGATTCTGAAAAGAGCAGAAAGGGTTCCACAGTAAGCGATTTTTATTTCTTTTCTGATGTGATTCATCAGCCAATCTTCCTGTGACTGATTTCATTTAATGGTACAGAGATTTTTTATTTCGAATGGTTTTCGATCAATCGATGGAAGGAATAAAATTTTTAATCTTTGATTTTTGCGATGATTTTTCGGTTCATACTAAATATGAAAGTGAATTAAACAATGCTTGAGAGGAGCACTTTGTTTGATAGGAGTAATTTTATTATGAGATATCACTTTCTTTGAGTAGAATGCAGTAGGCAGCTGTGAAATGTGGAGATTTTTTGTGTGGAGAATCAGTTCCCTCGCCTATTTGATATCATATTTTATTTGCTTTCCTGTAATGTTTCACTCCATGTGTGCGCATGTATGCTGCTAGTTGGTAAAGAGCTTCTTTGTTGAGAGTGTGTGTGAGATGATGTGAGATGTTTACAAAAGCCAGATGATACGTTGAGATAAGGCCGATCTACAGCACAGAAATTATAGATTGAACACTTGTAGACATATGCTATATATTCGTTGATTCATCTAGAAACATTCACGTTTTATTATGTTGGTGATTATGAACGTAGCTCTCATATGGCATTGNACTTATATTCTATGAGTGGGTGAATTTGCATTTTGCTTTGAACTAACGATTGCAGGTTTCAAGCGTTGAATAGATGAATTCGGTTGAAGTGAGCTGACCTGATGAAATTTTGAGATTTTTGGGAAAGTTATCCATCGTAGATACATATCCTTGATGGCACCTAATTTTGAGCTTACAATCAGTAATTGTAAATTGACGAGCGATTTAATCATTAGATTGGATGTGTTATTGGTTGTATTTGTAATGTAGTGTCAGTGGAAGTTGTAAAATCTATTGCAAAAAATTGTTTGACAATTGCAGTTTACAAGTATGCACATACATCTATACGAAACGGCGAGAATTCGACAAACTGTTGGAGTGCTATCTGAGGGACAGTTTGAATGCGGTACGTATTTTGTTGAATTTATTCGTTTTTAGCGTATCCTTTTTATTACTTTGGCTCATCAGATTTCGTTCAGTCAACAATATGATGCTATTTTTGAAGAGAAATTTCTGTTTTTGAAGTGTTATAATCAGTGCAACTAATTGCTTGAATGCATTGATTATTGGTTGTAGAGCTGATGAGAATATGTTCGAAATCTTTGAAGTGNCAACTAATTGCTTGAATGCATTGATTATTGGTTGTAGAGCTGATGAGAATATGTTCGAAATCTTTGAGGTGTGTTCAAATAGAAATGTGATTTGTTTTGTGTATTTATTTGTTGTAAACTTGGCTTAACTTTTTTTTTAAAATTGATTTTGTCGATTTTCGCGGAGTGTTTTCGTTTTCCTTTTTCAGCCAAATGTATTCTCGATAATAAGAGACATTTTCGGTGAGTTAACACCTGAAGAACTGCCGACATGCACAAATTTCGTACGATCGTTACTGTTGGTACGTCCGTTTGGTATTATTACTCACAATCAGGGGGAGAGTAGTGGTGATAATGAGATCAGTGCCATTTTGTTGGTTATTGTTATCGTTGTATTTCATATGAGCGGTATCGTTGTTGTTAAAAAACGAACGAATCCTGACAGTAGCACAAAACAATAAGATCAATTGGAACAATTTGTAGAGGCTAGCCGCTGTGGACGTTTATCAAACAGCAGAACTGATATTGGATCATTTCATCGATTGGTTGGATGACGCTCCAATAGATACTGATATATCGGCGTTGCTGTTCTATAATTGTTTCATTGTGCGGTTAGTGATTGATCTGTTGATTTGATTTCTTTTAAATGTTTTTTTAAATTTGAATTGCATCATAGAAATTGTTATCAGTACAGTGATATTGTGCAGTTCATTATAGCTTTGCTCACCATAGTATGTTCATGAATTGTTCTTGTTTTGATGGAAGTGTACGTCGATTGTTTTACTGTTTACTGAGTGAGCAGTTGAGGATTTGAAGATGATGTATCTCAGTTTTTGAATTTATATATATATATTCGAGTTTTGTATAATTAAGGCGTGAAAGAGGTCATCGGACGTTGACCGGTGATGAAGAATTGGACGAAAGGCTTTTTGAGGTGACGGTCGAGGAGTTGGTCAGTGACGAGCATGATGACAGCCGGGATGAGGTGAGGGGATAGTAATAGTTATAGTGATCATAATCATATTATGATAACGATATTGTTTTATGAAAGCGATTAGGGTTCTAACATCTTTAGATATGAAGAATTGCTCAATGGAGTTGTTGGATTTTTATTTGTTGATATAGTGGAGGGATTGTATTGTTTAAAGATATTTGTATTACTATTAATTTAGATGTGTTGTTTAGCACTGACTTAATTTTTAAGAAACTCGTCGAACGGTTGAAGTATTGG